CAATGTGTAGAGCTGGATGAACACATTAGGCCAAGCAGCATCAGAGGAGCAGGAAAGCTGACGTTTCGGGTCTGGACCCTTCAGAAAATTTTCTGAAGAAGGGTCCAGACACGAAACATCAGCTTTTCTGCCCCTCTGATGCTGCTTGGCCTAAGGTGTTCATCCAGCTCTACACATTGTTACCTCAGATTCTCCAGCATCGGTAGTTCCTACTATCTCAGGTACAGAATGGTCCTGTTGGAAACCAAACTAAGTGTCAGCAAGCACATTATTCCTGAGCAACGACACTTAATACCACTTCCATCACTTCGCTGATGAATGAGTGTAGACTGGTTGGTTGGTATTTAGCTGGGTTGGATTGATCCTACTTTCTGGCTGCAGATGGATGCAAATGCTTCAGCCCAGTCTTTTTCACTGATGTGGCTTGACTCAGTCGTCGAGGAAAATAACTTTTGTTGAGCCACCGCCTCTGATTAATTGCCCACTACCATTCATGTTGCAGGACTGCAGAACTTCATTCTGATCTGTTGTTCACAGGATACTTAGCCCTGTTTATCATATGCTACTTGCATAGTTTGACAGGCAAATAACCCAGTGTTACAGTTTCACTAGGTAAATACCTAATTTTTTTAGGTTAGCCTGTTGCTTTCCTGCACTCTTCATTCTCTGCTAGACAGTTAGATAAAGGTTATAGTTTCTGGGTTGAACATCCTTCTGTTGCTGATGACTGATGGTGATGCACAGATAGCTAAGTTTTGAGTTATTAGATCTGTTAAAAATCTATCACATTTAGCACACCGGTAGTACCTATCAACACGATGGAGGCCATCCTCAATGTGAAGGATGTTGTCTTTAGAAGGACTGCATGGTGATCACAGCTACCAGTCATGGAAATATGGAGCTGTAATAGATAAGTGAGGACAAGATCCATGTTGATTAGAAGGTTTCACACCTGCCTGCTCCAGGCCTAATTTAGTAGCTATGCCCTTTAGGACTGGGCTAGCTTTGCCAGAGTAGTGGGCTGAGCAACAACTTGGTGGTGAACACAAGTTCTCACAAAAATATGTTCTATGCCTTTGCCATCCTCAGTGCTTCTTCCAAATGATACTCAACGTGGAGGACTATTTATTCATTAGTGGAGAGGCAATTTAGGTGATAATCAGAAAGTCTCTTTGCCCATATTAGATCCTATGCTGCAGACTTCATGGGGTCAATGTTAAGGATGCCCTGGACAATTCCATGATAGTATACCATGTTTGTAACTCTGCCAGTACGACATGATTTACCCAGGAATGGTAATGATGATGATGGTATCTGGGACATTGTCTGTAAGGTATGATTTATGGCTATGAACATGTCAGTCTGTTGTTTTACCACTGTGTAGCCAGCTCTCAATCTTGGCTCAAGCCCCCAGATATTAGGAATCACTATTTTGCAGTGTCACCAGTGCTAGGTTTGCCATTGTCGCTGCTGGTGTTGAGGCTGATGCTGAGCAGTCTATCCAATTTAATTCCTTTTCAAATAAAAATCTGAACTTTCCACTGCTTAAGAATAGTTCCATTGGGTTTCACTTTTCCCTTTAAAAATAATTGTCAAAAACAACAAATTCTGAAACTTTCTAGAAAACAGCAATAGCCTTAACCGAGTTAACAGGCAGAAGACAAAACAAGTTATTGATTCTTTAATCTTTTATCCTTCATGGAAGGAATGAATTCTACCCAGCTCAGTCAATCTTTGGATATTTATGTATATTCTTAAACTTCTGATGTGAAAAAGTCTGTTTTATCATGAGACATTTCCACTGGCGAACATTTAGGTAGGGCAAACATCTTTCTCTGCAGACATTATAAATCATCCTTGAAATTGTGGATGTTACTCAGAGGATGGTGATTTCAAAGTGCGACTATATTTGTGTACTATTGAGTTGGAAGTTAAATACAACATGAGAAATGCAATGTTTTTCACCAAGTTTGAAAGTATCCACTGCAAATCCGTCTGCATTCTGGTATAGGTTGATGGCCTCACCTTTTTTACAAGATGCCAATTCACTACAAATACTGTAAATCACCTGCCTCTCCATACTGTGGGTAGTGGTTTTGAGAGAAAGAATAACCCTTTTGTAAGCACTATGATATTTTGTTATGTTGGAATGCTGCAAACAAGTGTCACTTGTTCTTAGGTTGACATAGTTCTGCAAGTTGGACAGTTCAGATGACAAGGTGACCCAAGTTTACATATGGTGTGGCAACTGTTAGGCATATTCTTAATTCTAATACAAAGTAACTAAAAATAGAGAAAGAGACAATTTTAAAGCATTGCAATAATCATCTAAAAAATGACTATAAATCTTCAAGTTTAAAAGGGAATCAAGAATAATAAAACTCTACCTTAGAAGTTAACGACTTCTCTGGTTCAGATGTGTAACAGCTATTTGCAGCAATTTATTTTTAGTTAAATTGATCTTCAATTTGGGCTAAGTGATCATTCTTGGAGAACAGATATACAGCATATTAACAGCTAAATGGTGCCACACTGAACCAACTCCAACCGAGTTCAGTTTTGTCCCAGGTAATACATAAAAAATGAAAACCACACATCGTCAGTGGTCTCCTGTAAAAAACTTGATCAAAGCATGCCAGCATAGTTGTGTCTTAATCCACTAGTCAGTTAATGTAATATTACAAAGTTTTCACAGTTCAGAAACATACCATTTGGCTTTACATTTGCCAGCATTCATACTCAGGAGTATGCTCCCACCCTATCACATTTAATCCAGTCAATATATCCTTCTACTCCTTTCTTCTGCATACAAACTTTTAACTTCGCTCTAAATGCATTTACATTAGTTGCCTCAATTACACTCCACGATAGTGAGTTCCACATTCTAACTACGCTTGGTAAAGATATTCTGCTGAGTTCCTTATCGGATTTGTTGACGATTTACTTATTTATGGTTGCTAGCTCTGGTCTCACCTGCAAGAGGGTATATCTTCCCCACATCTATCCCATT